ATTGGTATTTTTCACGTGTGTTTCAGTCTACTTGCTGGTGTAAAGGGGCAGAGTATCTCTCTGGACCTGTTTGGCCATGCAGCATTTATGTGAGGTTCCCAAGAAGAGGCAGTGTGTATCCTGGGTGTCTTCATCTTGTCCTTTAAGGATTGTCCTCTTCCTTCTCTGAGTTTTTTGGGTATAATTCTAATTTGCAAAACATTTTTCTTTTTGTCATATCCTGAAAAATAATAGCATTGTTGTGGTCATGGTCTTGACTTTAAAAATGTTGAAATGCCTTTAGCTATGGAAGAGACATGCCAGTAACAGAAAGTACCTTTGCAGTTGCCATAGACCTTTTCCTTCATGTGAGGTCCTTGGTCTCTCTCTATCACTTGTAATGTCAAGTTGGTGACACATTCTTTTGTATGTGAACACGAGCGGCCCATATATGTTGGTGGTTAATGTCTAGTCCCTGTGGGTCAGGGTGAATAAGTTTATCCACTATTCTTAAATTATACTTTCCCCATTAGAGATTACAGTCAAACTGGTAATTTCCTTATTAAGGGTTTGCTGCAAGTACTTACATGTTGGTTTCTTTAAGATCTGGCCACTGTGATTGTAAGTTACTTTTCTTTACAGTTATCTGACCACAGAGCAATTTGTTTTATGTCATTTATGATGTTCTGCTACTTAGTGTGGAAATAAAAAATGGAATGGAAAAAGTATTTTGGGGAGCAAATACAAATACAAGTTTATTTTATTATCATTATTTATTATTTAGATTGAACTCAGGACCTTCTGCCTGCATTTGGGGCTTAAATACAAATACAGTTTTATTTTTTATGTTATTTGTTTATTTTTATTTTTTGTGGTACCAGGGATTGAACTCAAGACCTTGTGCTTGGAAGGCAGGCACAGTGCCACTGAGCTAAATCCCTGGCCAAAGTACAAATGTCTTTGAAGCTCTGGATCATACTTTCTGAAAATGGACATGAAATATATTGAAAAGATAAAGGCCATTGCAATATTATTTTGTAACCAAAGTCAGCTCCACATGAAGCGGCAAAAAGTAATGAATGATGGACAATATCATCAAATCCTTGGCTTCCCACTACCCCCAGTCATCCTGCATACAATGGAAACCTTTGGAAGTGAGGGTAGGGAAAGGAAAGATAGAAAGGAAGAAATTTTCAAAATGGAGAAAGAGGACATTTTGACACATGGAGAGGAATTAATCTATTTCACATTGTCAAAAGTCAGGGAAGGGTTATGAAATGACAGTTCTAAAAACTCATCCATTATAGTGTGACTGCTGAGCTAAGTCCCAGTGGAAATTAACCGATAGCAGTACCAACTCCATAAGTCAAGCCTCACTATTTTAGCCACCTCCAAAGGGGAGTGCTGAGAATATTTTGTTAACAAAACTGGCTTGAGGTCCACTAGGGAATGGAGTGGCTGACTTCAGTACCTACACTGCACTGCTTCATGCTTTCTCTAGATAATTATTTTGTTATCTTTCCATCTAGTAAGAATGAGACTTCCAACATACATGTTTTTCCTTCCTTCACTTTTAGAACAAGCAAGTCACTTCTTGGTATAACAGAAGAAAACAAGTAATAAGTTTCTAACATTTTGATAATGGTGTAATCTTAAACACCTCTACCACTGTGTATGAAGGTTGAACAAGTGATATAGAAATACCATTAATTGATTATATGTTCTAGGGAATGGAAAATACTGCATTGCTTAAGCAAATTCAACAGATTTATCCAAGATAGTCCAACATTGTGGGTAAGGTAAAAACTTGAATTTCTTGTGGGAAAGTATAATGTGAAATTTTGATTTTATAAGTGATTCATAGTAGACACATTATGTTCCCTATAATGTATTTTCTAGGAAATGGGCCAAAGATTTTGCTCTAAAGTATATATTTCCATTCTTAATAACTTATTTATTACATATGATAGTTTAGCTATAGAGAATCTTTTAGAATATTTTTTCCTGTTAGCATTCTTTCATATTATTCAGAATTTTCTATTATGCAGAAAGTTGACTTTCTGCTTTTCCTCAAACCCAAATTGCAATCACAGAAGTGGAGAAAATATGTTCATTTATTCTTTTTATTATTATTATTTTTGGACAGGGGATCGAATTTGGGCCCTTGTGCTTGTGAAGCAGGCGGCAGAACCACTGAACTAAATCCCAGGCTCTTCATTTTTTTTAAGAAAAAAAACAACAGCAACTTGTTTTTGTCTTACACATTTTCACAGTTGCTAAAACCCAAAACCATAAAGAATGAAAGTAAAATATAAAATCTCAGAAAAATATTTGTTCTATGAAATAATTGTTATTAAATATTTTTGGATAGAAAAACTGGTAACTTTCAGATGGTATTGAATGGTATTTCTGCTAATATAAATTCAACAAACTTGTCAATTTCAGTATATGTATTGGGAGTCCAGGAAAATATTATCTGGGAAATTTTTATTAACTAATATAGCAGTGAATGATTTCAGTTCCTAATAGTCTTTTATTCAGTGTTGCTTATTATATTAGTTTTGCCATGAATTATTTATTAAAATAAATTTTGCATTTTGTCTTTAATATTGTGTAGTGTTCCTATGCCTTTTCTTGGTATTTATAAAATAAGTAACAATTTTTAGCATAATTGGACAGATAAAATAGTATGACTTATTTTGATATATATATGAAGTGTATATTTTTGACAATTTGAGAGGACAGACAATTAGTAAGGGAATCTTTTTTTCTTATCTGGAATAGTCCTAAATTGATCTTAATATATGATAAGTTGAACTGATGCTAAGATTTCTAGCTATGAGCTGACATAATTCAAGCTGAGAATTAGAATAATTCAAATAGAAAACTTGCCAATTCAGGAAGTGAACTGTGGGCAAATGGACTCTGAAGGAGTCCTGGGAGGCAGAAGTCAGGGTGCTATGCATGGTAACATAGCAGTTACTTTCTAGAGGTATAGGTTTGCCGATGCTGGGATGGGGTTTATCATGAGCAATAGAGTTGAGATGTCTGTAACTTACTCCTATCAATATCATAAACTGTATAAAGGCATAGATTAGAAAACCAATGGAAACCCCAAGCAATAAAAGACTCTAGGCAGTAAGAAACTCAGCTTCTCAGGCCTGACAGTATCATGGACCCTTATAAATCTCCTTTAGGGATTCTGGGGCTGAGGGGCATTATGTTGACAAAATTGTACCAGTTTTCCAGCATAGAACAGTGTATAACCACTTTGCTTCTGATAATATTTTACAGGAATATTTTAATTAAGTGCAAAAATTAATCTACACTTATAATAAATTTTGTATGTATTTGAATGGCAGGAGTGGTTTTACACTAAATTATGGCTTTAATTTGAACAATATTTACGACAATTGATTGCATTAAAATGTGCCTTTTTCTATCTATGGATATGATTCATTTTAGTCTATTTTCTTGATATGCATAGCACAATGATTTACTTTTGTTTCATGTTTAGAAATCTTGTTGAATATTCTGCGCTCATATTTTCTAATGTCTGAATTTTAAGTTTATATTGATATTATTCTCTAGTTAATATATTTACTAAGGTTGGTCTTCTCAGTTAGATTATAGTCATTGCTCAAACACAAATTTCGTTCTTTGCTGAGGGAGTTGTGAAGTGGCAAATTAATTTAACTGAGTAAAATCAAACTGAATTCTAAGTTTAGATTCTAAAACTAGAATTATGTCTTTGTGACACTCATATGTAGCTGTGGCTCATGATTGAAAGAAATTGTATTCAGAAATTTAAAGTGTCACAAAGAAAAATAATGGCAGGATCTTCCTGTAGTAGAAGATAGTTAATCATGATAGTGGCAGCTCTTTCACCTTCCTTGATCTACTTAAGAGTATCTCGTCTTTTTTCTTTTTTACTTTTCTTTTCTTTTTTTTAAATTTTTTTTTTAGTGTCTCTATTCTTTGAATCCTTTGGTGATACAGAAGTCTTAAGGACATGCTAATGGGAGCCAACTTCCTTGTTTTTCAAATAACCTGTTCTGCTACAGCTGCACTACGTATGTGTAAAAATAATTATTATTAGTTATTTCAACTGGAGTATAAAAGTAGCTAGGAAAAATGAATAAGAAATAAATATCAGTACCACCATTTGTTGTGATAAATGATCATTTGGGTAAATTCATTTAATGGTTTATGATAAGACTGGTTTCCTAGTAACTGGAGCACTAATTTATTTTTAACTTGATAGAATAAGCATTAATTTTCTCTGAATCTTGCTAGTGAGCTTTTATTTTTGGGTTGAGTCATGTGTAAGGGTTCGTGTGTGTGTGTGTGTGTGTGTGTGTGTGTGTGTGTGTGTGTGTGTGTGACTGTGTTTGCTCATGCAATTTTGTCTTCAAAGTATGATGTGCATGTTCTTCATGACCACACCAGCTGGGAATCACTAGGAGAAAGGCTGACATGTTTTGTATAAGTCATTAAATTCCAGGGTGTCTCATGGTTTCGTTTGGAGGAAATTATTGTTTCTTTAATTTCTAATTAAAGCTCTGATATTGTGAGAGACTTTGGAACTGCTGACCTAATCCTAAATTGATATTATTTGACAGTCCTTCTTATTATCTATTCATTATAAGTAAAATAAAGATGAGTTTACACCAAACCCTGATTCTGTTTTATTTTATCATTTATGTTGGCCTAAAGGATGAACCAAGATATGTCTTCCTAGCATCATCTTTTCAAGTCTTTACTGTTTTAAGTATCAGTAGGTGTTCATGTAATGTTGAATCTCATAGATGATATCTTACTCAAAATTGGATTGTTGTAAAAAGCAGTGTTATTCTGTAGTATGCATGATAAACATTTTAAATTAGGACTTGTTTATAAGGCTATACATATTCCTAAAATACGTATATTTACAAATCACATTAAATTCCAGGTATTTCTGTTTCTTCTTTAATGATGTAGTCGATAATTTAAAAATTAACATCTAATTTATTTATTTTTAGGGAATTCCAGGATTTCCTGGAAGCCAAGGCTTAATGGGACAGAAGGTTAGTACTAATGAGAGCTGAGAGGTTTGGACCTGGATACACTTATTAAGAGAGTGAAGTGGTGATACAATGTTGTCTTCATATAATTAAATTTACAACATTCATAGCAACAGTTATTTGTTCAAATATCATATGATTTCAGAAAATGTTCATTTTTATTCTTTTTGTTTATATAGATAACATTAATTTGGATTTATATATGTGTGTGTACTATTTTACTTGATTACTTTTCTATGTTGTGCTCTTAGGTAAATCTTTTAGCATAATTGGTCTCCTGAACTTATTTTAAAATATTATTTCAGTACAAGTGTTTTGACAATAAACTTTTATGTAACTACACATTTCTTCATTTTACAAAGATAATTTTGTAATACGCCACTTAAGGCTATTATTTTCTCTTGATACATTGATAATTTCCTTAATTTTCCTTAAATTGTTTTCTGGCTTTCACTGTTAGCCATAAAATCTGCTGTCATTCTGATTATCATTGTTTAATAAGCAATCTATTCCTTCCTTTGGGTTCTTTAAAAAAATTTTTTTAAGTGCTCTGAAGTACACTAAAAATGATCTAGTTAGGGATTTCTCTTTACTTATCCTGTTGAGAATCAAGTTTGCTTCCTCGTTTTGTAGAATTTCTATTAATTCTGAAAAAAATCATCCATTATCTTCATATTATTTCTAGTTTATTCATTTTGGGATTTTCTATTTATTGCAATTTCAATTTCTACATCTCTTAATGCCATCTTCCTATTTTCATATCTTTGATTCTGTCTTCCATTCAAGTTAAATTACTTGGATATTACTTCTAGTTTAATTATTCTTCCTGCATTGTTTCTAACCTGCTGTCTAAACCATCAATTGATTCAAAAAATATGAATAAGCTGGATAAAGTAGAACATTCCCAATTCTATCACTTAGGAAGCTAAGTCAGGAGAATCTTGAGTTCAAGACTTACCTGGGTTACATAATGAGTTCAAGGCTGGTCTGGACTACATAGTGAGATATCTATATCATCCATATCTATATATCTATATCTATATCTATCTTTATATTTCAATATATTTAAGTACATAATTTAATATATATTTTCACTTTGGGAAGTTCCAGTTTTTTAAACAGTATTTTTTTTAGTTTTTTTTGTTCCTGTTATATTTTCAGTCTTAGTAATCATTCATAATTCTATTTTTTTAAGTTTGAAATATCTCATCCATAGTTCTCATATGTAGATCTATTTCTAACAATACTAATATTTGTAATTTGTCATTGTCATTGACTCTCAGTCCTGTGGCTTGCTATTTCTTGTTTCTTTGTTGTTGATTGTGAGCTCATTGCTTCATCTTAATTTTGTAGAAGTCTTTTAGCATAACTAGTTCATGGAGAGCTGAGTTCTGGTAGCCTTTGAGCTGCCTTTCAAGATCCTGAGATGACATAGGCATTAAAGAATTCTACTTTCTCCCTAGGGTTAGCCAAAATTCAGTTTCCTATTTGTGAACACACACTCATCTTTTCTTAGTCCTGCATGTTTACCTTTACAGGATTTCTTTATAGTTCCAAAGGCTCAGACAGAGTTATAGCTCCAACCCAGAGTATATATTTTTGAAATGGCTCTTCACTGAGTATTTCACCTACTGCCTAAAAGGTCAATGCTTACTCACAGTTTTTTTTTTCTTAAGATTTTTGTTCTAAATTTAGTATCCCTTAGACTACCTAGTCAGCCACACCTCAGAAGCTGTAGTCTAAATCTTATTATTCTAAATCTCAATTTTTATTTGCTAACCTATATTCGCTACCACAACTCTTAATCTGTATGAGAAAGAAGTTTTCACTTTTTTTTTTGTCTTATATTACTAAGTGTCTGAGCTACTAGGTCTTCCTTTGGTAGAATGGCAAATGTCACTCCAGGTTTCACAATGGAGATATGTAAGTGATACTGCAGGCTCTTAATCTAGATATTTTAGATATTGGCTCCCTGGTTTTTCTGCTTTACCTCACTTCTTTCTCATAGTACAGAAAGGAAAGGCAGATAAATTGGGGATGACTGTCATTGTATTTTCATTCTATAGGGCTTTGGTAGAAAAATTTTGAGAAGAATTGGTAATGTACCAGTTTTAAATTTGATCTGCATTTTATTTTTAGGGAGAAATTGGGCCTCCAGGACCACTGGGAAAAAAAGGAGCTCCAGGAATGCCAGTATGTTGAAGTCATTACTCTAAGTGTTTGTAGCATTGCTACTATGTAGAAGGAATTTGTATTCTGGAGTTTATAGAACTGTACAAGATATAGCAGTGAGATTTTTGAACTATACAAATTCCATCCATTTGTATTTAAAATATTATATTTATTTCCATTTTTCTAGAGGAGTCAGGATTTCTTCAGAGTCTCAAAAGTTGGCCACTTAAGGAAAAGTCAGAGCTCTTTAGTATAGATAAATTTAAAAATACAGTGGATTAGATGCTCATTAATAAAAATACTAAGCATACTGAAATAGTGTAAAATTCAATGAGTATTTTTTTATTTGTAAATAGTTACTAATTATGCTAATGAAGGAGAATATATTTATATAGGGAGAATACAAAAATTATAAACCAGTGGATGACTTACTTTAGAAATTTTAGTAGAAGTAATATATGTGTTTGATTTTTTAAAATATGTAAATCTAAACATGCATGTGCAAGATTCCAAAAACATTATGAAGTTTATTGCCAGAAATGGTTGATTTTTATGTGAATCAAATTATCCATCATAATTTTCATATTTGAAAATTTATGACTCACTTAATTAATAAAAATAGATGCTAAAAATAGACATTTTACTTAGTGCTTAGTAAAAGATTTCACGAATCTTGTATCCAACAGTATATGAGGAAATTATCCATTAATAGGAATTTAAGTTTGAATATACTGAAGATTCTTGCCCCTTCAAAATAGAATGATCTTCTTCTATTTCATAATTACTACAAACTATTTATGAATTTAAATAATTAAATTTGGTTACAAATATCTAACTTTGTCTTCAGAAAAAAAGTTAATGGTTAGTACTGACTGAACCTTCAGAATATTTATTTAAATTCAGAATACAATACATAATACCAGAAAACACAGTCTCAATACATCCATAATTAGAATATCGTGTCACTGCTACAGGGCTGTGCTATTAACTTAGCATGATACTACAAGAATAATATGTGAAATAAACCAGTTCATAATAAGTGGATAAAATTTAAAAACTTAAATATTCTTAATAATTTTAAATAAATATTCTGAAGGTTCAGTCAGTACTAACCATTAACTTTTTTTCTGAAGACAAAGTTAGATATTTGTAACCAAATTTAATTATTTAAATTCATAAATAGTTTGTAGTAATTATAAAAGGTATATGTAATATTAAAGTAGAAATATATAACATACTATAATATATAGGTAGATATAATGTATAGATATTATATATATAATTAGTTACAATAGAATATAATTTAAATCAGGTCTCAAGTACCAGAATGGTTACTCTTTTCTTATTTTTAAATCATAAACTTAGTTAAAAATATGGCTATTTTGTAACTTGAGTATTATAGTCACAAAATGTATTAAATTTTGACTCTTTCACAATATTTTTCAAGATAATAGAGAATTGTAAGTGATTTTGATCAAAATAATATATATAGGGCGAGGGATTTAGCTCAGTGGCACTGTGCCTGCCTCACAAGTGCAAGGTCCTGAGTTTGATCCCCAATAGTAAAAAACAAACTACTTCTTAGCCCTCACAACAAAACGAACAATATAGGAAACAGACTTTTCTTTGAAGATTCATCTTTTACAACTTTTTTGTTTGCTGCTTTTGGTTTTTTTTGAGCAACAGAATTATAAGTGTTGTGCTAACCTTCATTCTATCTCCTTTATTGTTCTTTCTTAGTATTATGTGGGAAAATTTCCCAAATGTTCTATTGTTATTCAATTCATTAATTATTATAAGAATGATTACCTTGCAAATACAGTAACCTCAGTTCATGAGTGCTTCTGTTTGCAAATAATTCATTTTGTAAAATTTTGCTTCCTTTCAAAAACTACATCGGGTGACAAACCTGACCACTGCCCTCTTCCCCACACAGACACCAATGCAGCCCTTTTCCACCAAATGATAAAACAAATTAAATTTGTAAACTGAGGAACCACTGTAGATATATTTTCATATTCTTCTATAAATTACCCCTGAAATTCCCATTTTCACTTGTAGGGTTTGATGGGAAGCCGTGGCTCACCAGGCCAGCCTGGCACTGCAGGATCTAAGGTAAATATAAAGAAATTAGGAAGCCTAAACTTTTGTGATCACAGGAACCTTTTACAACTTCAATGACAACTTTGGTCACTTATAATAATGTGATCATAGGTGAAAGCTCAGCATATGAAACAGGCTCAAATAAAATGGATCGGGTTTAAGCAAGAGAGAAGTCTAGCATTCTTCTTCAGTTGATCTCCCTCCCCTTTTGCTGTTTCCGGGGACACCCATGGTGCTGAGAGAAGCAACCTCTAGCATTTGTATTTAGAATAGTAGATATCTGTCACTAATTTTCCATATAATATATTAGCTCAAATATTGGAAAGCTGGTTTTGGTGGTTATTGTTTCTGTTTTGCTTTTTCCGAAGAGCCAGATAGTAAATATTTTTGGGTTTAAAGGCCATATTTCTATTATTACAGCCATTTTATTACTTGCTCTTGTAATATGCAAGTATCCACAGACAATACATAAAGAGTGGGTATGGCACATGGCTCTGTTCTGGTAAAATTTTATTTCAAAAACATGTGCGAGGCTGGATTGAGCCCATAGATTTTAGTTGACTGAGTGCTCTGTTTGCGTATATATCCCTGAGATCTTTGCCACTGATACCTTTGTGGACTGTGCCTTCAACATCATCAATAAAAGATCTAGCTAGCATGTGACAAAACTGTTGTACTACATAGGGTAGAAATAAGGCAGACAGACTGGTAAACTTTAGGAAACTTCCAATTTAGCTATCATACCTCTTAAAAATAGCTATTTGCCACTTCTAGCCTACTTTTCCTTACCACTACAGATTTCAGTTTTAAAAGAAATTTTGTAAATGACTTTTGAAAAAATTAATGTAATCCAACCAAAAACATTTTGTCAAGTCTTAAGAGCTTTGTGTGCTTTAGTCTTAAATACTTAGTTTCAGACAATTGGAGAGGCGAAAATGTGTGATTTAAAAATATTCTGTTAAGTGTCTGCATCAGTTATATTGTTACTCATTCACTTATTTATTGAATTTTTCTGGGGTTGAGCTCCGGTTTTTGTGCTTGTGAGGCAAGCAGCCGCACCACTGAGCTGAATCCCCAGCCATTAATTTATTTTAATGATTCACGTGATTCTGGTACATTGGCAGGGGGGAAAAGGTGAACCTGGACTTCAAGGGCTCCCTGGGTCTGCTGGGCTCAAGGTAAGTGTGGTTGGATATGCTGGGAACACTGTCAAAGGACTGGAGCGTACACACCCCTCATCACTTTAGAAAACTATCATTTTGCATCTCTAAGAAAAAAAACAGATAGAATTTTTTTTTTTTTTTTGTACCAGGGATTGAACTCGGGTCCTTGCGCTTGCAAGGCAGGCCACCAAACCACTGAGCTAAATCCCCAGCCGCAAAACAGATAGAATTAAAGATTATGTGTATGAAAGATTAAGGTACACAAAAGGAAATGGTCAATTCAGGATTACTTTTTGTTTTTAGATATTATGTCATTGAGGAATAAAGATATGACATCTTCCCTGCCTTGAGTTTTGTGGAAATGGTAAAGGTGGGGCACTAATTTGAATATATTCTTTAGGATTATGTACTCTCTAAGAGCATACTGGCAACATTATGTTCCGTCTCTTACATATATATCCTAAATATTGTCAGTGCTTTTAAAAAACTTTTTTTTTTTTCCAAAAAAAAATCCTTACAGGAGAGTGGAGGGTAGGGAAATTCAGTTAATATAACTTATGTAATATTCTCTGCACTGGAAGCAGCTCAAGAATTTATTTATTTGTAAGACAATAATGTTATGTATTTATGAAAAGTAAATATGAACCTGCATATAATGTAGTACAAGGATGTGTGTGCCAAAATTGTGAAAATAAAATATTGAAGTTGTAAAGTAAAACAGTAGGAACTTTAATTAATAAAACATAACAAATCAAGACAGTTAAATATTCTGCTATAATTAAAAATCATTTTGTGAAAATATATATAATCCATTTGTCTTAGTTACTTTTCTTTTGTTCCTGAGGCAAACTACCTGACACCCAAGTTAGAGGGGAAAAGGTTTATTTGGCTCACAGTTTGTAGAAGTTTCAGTCCATAATCAACTGGCTCCAAGACAGAGCAGTAGAGGAGAAACAACAGTTCATGGTGGCAGCAGACAGAAAAAACAACATAGGACCTTAACAGTGTCTTTCTGCCCCTTTTGTCCCATCCAGACCACTGGAATTAGGGCAGTGCCAAGCCAGTCACACGCAGGTATCACAGACCCTTAATCCTAGCACCACACATTCCAGATTCAACCACCTCTGAAAAAGAGGTGAGCCTCATCCACATGAGGCTTTGGGGAGACATCTAAACGCAATATGTAACACCATATAAAGAACTTTGCAAGATTAGAAAGGATTATACAAGGGGCACATTTTGTTCATTAAATTGTGTATATGTTTGAGTTAGAAAACATACAACAAAATAATAATGGATAACATCAATCACTTTTATAAACTAACATTTATCAGTTTGTAGCAAAGGTTCTGAAAGGCAGCAATGTGAAAAATCCAATTTCAGGGAAAAAAGAAACCATTAGCAAATAGATAAACAAAAAAGGATGCTTGTGATTATTATTATTATTATTATTATTATTATTATTATTACTGGTACTGGGAATTGAACTTGGGTCCCTGTGCTTATGAGGCAGGTGGTGGCACCACTGAGCTACATCCCCAGCCCGTTGTGTTTATTATTTTAACTAAGCAACTGTTTATTTTACTAGTTATAATGTATAATAAAATACCACATATGTATAAAAGTTAAAAATGTGAATTTTTCAATTGGAAATGTAGGAAAAATATAGAAAATTTTATTCTTTGCAATTTTTATGGTTATAATTAAATGCCAAGCAAATTTTAACCATGTATTTTAAATTTGAGGTATTATGAAAAGATAAAAAAAAAAAAAACGGCATTTTTCAGCAGCAGTAGATCTGTAATCTCTTCAGAATTTCTGTGCTCCCTAGGGAGAACCAGGATCGAGAGGTCTTCCAGGAGAACCTGGATACATGGGTTTACCTGGGATTCAAGGGAAAAAGGTATGTGTTGCTTAGCAGATACTCTTAAGCCACTCTTAACAGACAGGGCATGCCATTTGTGGAATTAGCATACAAGGAATGCTTGCATCTGTAATGATGTGCCACCTTCTAGACGTGGAGAATGTGTATTGTGCTCAGCCCCACCATAATAGCTCTCAAATCTTCTGCATCTTGGTGTAGGAGCTGTCTCCTAGGGTGAAGACCTTGAAAGAAGCATGCATGTAGATCAGAGAATATATAAACATACAGTTAAGTGATATCTTGTAAACTCAATTTTTTTGCAGTCAATTCAAATGAGCCAAGATTTGTTTTTATTCAGTGTCAGGCACTCTTACTGAAATATGAATACCACACATTACCAGAAACTGGGACATAATTCTGAAACAATAAAAATTACACTCAGAATTTTTGACCATGAAGTTCCTATTTATGAAACAACTGTATTACACAGAAGTATACTGAAAATTAATATAAGCAGTTAAAAATATAAAACACGTATGCTCATTTAAAATGTTTTGGTTATGATGGTCGCACTTGGTACACTGAACCTTGTGTTTGGCCAACTAAAGGGAGGGACCTTGAGTCGTATCTTTGTAGATACTATTAATTACTTAAGAGCATTTAGAAACAAATGGTGCCCTTTTTGCTAAAGGAGCCCATGTAATTAAAAATATACACATTTCAGATTAAAAGTAATCATGCTGGCTGTCATTCTGGAAAGGGTCCAAATTGTTATGTCTCTATCTTCATTTTCCTAGCTGTTTCAATTTTCTACCATTTCACTCTTCTGTCCTCCGTGTATTATCTACTTCTCCTCTAGATTGTTACACAATAATTATTATTACTAGTGCATGTTTGCAGAACATAATTATATTCACTGTGGGGAGTTGGTGCATGTCCATAACTCATTTTGATTCTGTTTTTCATCCCCCCCCATGTCTTGGTCTCTTTTCTTTTTGCAAAAAAGCTATATGCCTGTTTACTATAATCTTTTACTTTGCTATTTATGTACATTTTGAGTATGATTCTTCACCTTTCTGTCCTGGGAACAGGAAGCAGCACTTACTCACATAGGCATGACTCTTGCAGCAATTAAATTTTAGTCTTAGTGAAAGTTAGGGAAATCTACTGTGAATATGTAATTGGGATTATGAGAATTTTCTTATTCAAAAACTTGTCAGTTAAAAGCAAATTTACTGTAAACATGAAATTTTCCTCTGATTAAATAGCATGGTGGAGAAGAAAGAATATTTGGAAATAGTGCCCAAGTTCCAACTTTGGGCAAGTGCTTACCTTTCCTGGTCAGGAGTTGCATATCTATAAAAATGAGGGCATTGTAGTACTTGGTCTCTCATTTCCTTTCTAGTTGAGAAATTCTGTGAAACTTAGTATTATGGAATATGGATTTTTCCTTCAAAAACACATCTTTAATCACACGTTCTCTAAAATATCATTTAAACAATATTGTATTTTACTTTGTCATTTTTTCCTATAAACTTGTGGCTACTATTAGCTTAATGGAAGATTTTCAGTTTGATTATATAAAACAGTGTTTGTCAAACAAGCCTTCTTTTGTTATTTTATTTAACCTCAGGTGGTGAACAATATAGAGAAGTGTTTTTGCTGGTAAAATACAGATTGTGAGGAATTTTCTTCTGAATATAGGAGCATAAGAGATTTTACTTTTTTTCAAGGAGATATAAAGGGATTTATTAAGTGGAATTAAAAGTACACACTGAAAGAAAATAGAGTATGGATCCCAGGGAGAGAGAGAGAGAGACAGAGAGACAGAGAGATAGAGAGAGAGAGAGAGAGAGAGAGAGAGAGAGAGAGAAAGAGAGAGAATACATTCCAGAGCTAGTAACATTTATGTGTAGTAGAAACCTGTAGAATTTGTGAATGTATAAAAAGTTTTGGCTTGGTTTACAGGAAAAAAGTAATGGCTCAGTATATTTTCTGTCTATCTGTTTTGTTTGTTTAAGACAGGTGATTTAAGATGATTGGCCTAAAAACATTTTTTGAAACTTTTTGAATCTGTTCTCTATTTTAAGGTCAATTTTCTGCCCTTTATCAACTAAGCTAATTTATTTATTTATTTTTTATTTTTCATTGTTTATTGGTACATTTTAGGTATACAGTACAGTTGCATTCATCTTGTACCTTTACATGACTTTTCTTGGTTCTTAGTTTTTCCATATTCCCCTGCCCTCCCTTCACCCCTCCAACCTTCCCTATTTACAAAAATTTTGTTTCTATTTTTTCCTCTCATATTTTTTCTTTTCCCTTCTTTCCTTTCTCCCTACCCTTGCCGCATCCCCTACTCCTTTAGAACTTTTCTTCCTATTTCACATTTTGATCCTTATTTACACTTTTAGTTTTTCACACCAGAGAAGCTAACTATTCGGTATTTACAAGTGTGACATTAATTTCACTTAAGAGTAAGGCCTCAGTGTGCACCCACTTAGCTATAAATGCCTCTAGTTTCTCATTCTTTATGGCTAGGTAGTGCTCCATTTTATTTAAAAAAAAAATCTTTATCCAATCTCTAGTTGATGGGCAATTGGGCTGTTTCCAAGTTTTAGCTATTACAAACTGTGCCACTATAAAACATGGGTGAGCATATATTACTATGCTATGATTCTTTTAATTCTTTTGGAAAGATACCCACCAGAGGAATAGCTGGGTCAAATGGGACTTCTAATCCTAGTTCTCTGAGGCATCTCCATGTAATTTTCTACAATGGTTGCACCGGTCTGCACTCCCACCAACAATGAAGATGGGTTCCTATCTCGCCACAACCCCACCAGAATTTTTTATTGTTTGATATCTTGATAGCAGCCATTCTTTCTGGAGTGAGGTGGTATCTCAGTGTTGTTTTCATCTGCATCTCTCGAATGACTAATGATGTTGAACATTTTTTCCATGTTTATTAGCTGCTTTTACTTCTTTGTCTGAGACATGTCTGTTTATTTCAGATGTCCATTTTTAGAGTGGGTCTTTATGTTTGGGCGAGGCGTCTGATTTTTTTTTTAGTTCTTTATATATTCTAGATAGTAGACCTTTGTATGACAACAGCTGGTAAAATTTTTTTCCCACATTGTGGGTTATCTCTTAGCTCTGCTTGTAATTTTTGTGGAAGTGAAAAAGCTTTTTAAACAGTTTTCCAAAAATGCATCGATCAGAAGTGGGAACAGTGGACATCCTTGTCTTTTTCCTGATTTTACCATGAAGGTTTTCAGTTTTTGACCATTTAGTATGAGGTTGGCTGTTGGTTTTTATGGATAGCTTTTATCAAGTTAAGATAAAGACCATCTATTCCAGTTTTCTGCAGGGTTTTTAATCCATGAATGGGTGTTCAATTTTGCTGAATGCTTTCTTTGCATCTATTGAGATGATCATATGTTTTTTGTCCTTAACTGTTAATATAGTGTATTACATTTATTGATTTATGTATGTTGAACCATCCTTGTATCCCTGGGATAAATCCAACTTGATCAGGGTGTATAATCTTCTTGATGACCCTCTGTGTTTTGTTTGCCTGTATCTTATTGAGGATCTTTGCATCTATGTTCATTAGGGAGATTGGCCTGTAGTTCTCTTTTGTTTGGGTCTTTCCCTGGTTTGATAATCAAAGTAGTACTTGCTTCCAGGAATGAATTTGGAAATACTGCTTCCCTTTCAATTTCACTGAAAAGTTTAAAGAGTAGTGGCAATAGTACTTTTCTAAATGTCTTGTAGAATTCAGCAGTAAAGCCATCAGGACCTGGGATTTTCTTTGTTGGTAATTTTTAATTCCATTTTGAATTTCACTGATTGTAATTGTGGTGTTTAGAATTTGTATATCTTCTTTGTTCAGCTTTAGTAATCATATGTATATAGGAATCTGTCCATTTCTTCTGTATTCTCCATTGTATTAGAGTGCAGGTTCTCAAAGTATTGATGATCTTCTGGATTTCTGCTGGATCTGTTGTGACTTCATCATTTTCATTCCTAATTGCATGAATTTGAGCCTTTTCTTTCCTTTCTTTTTTTTTGATAAGTTTGACTACGGGTTTATTGATTTTATTTATTCTTTCGAAAAACCAACTCTTTGACTAATTTTTTTTGTATCATTCTCTTAGTCTCCATTGCATTGATTTGTGCTGTGATCTTTATAATTTCCTCACTTGTATGATCTTTGGGTTTCTCTTCCTCTTCTATGAGCTTAAGATCCACCATTAAGCTATTAATTTGAGTTTGCTCTGCTTTGGTAGTGTGGACATTCACTGCTATGAATTTCCCATGTGAAATTTCTTTAATTGTATCCCCTAGACTCCTGTATGTTGTACTGGCATTATCATTAAATTGTAAATGCTGTCTAATTTCTTCTTTAATTTCTGCTGTGACCCATTGGTTATTCAGGAGAGTGTCATTCAATTTCCACGTGTTTGTGAAGTTCTTACCATTTCTTATACTATTGATCTCCAGCTTAATTGCACTATGGTCTGTTACTATACATGGGATAACTTCAATTCCTTTGCATTTACATAAACATGTTCTCTGAGCTAGCATGTAGTCTATTTTGGAGAATGATCCACATGAGCTGAAAAGAATGTGTATTCTGATTTTGTGGGGTAGAACACTCTATATATCTATTAAGTTCATTTGTTCAAAAGCTTGGTTCAGTTCTAGTGTTTTATTGTTGAATTTTAGTCTAGATGATCTGTCTATTTGTGACAGTGGGGTATTGTGGCCCCCACTACAATTGTATTAGTGCTTATTTGGTGTTTCATGTCCCTTAATATTTGTTTTGTACAGTTGGGGCATTAGTGTTTGATGCATATATATTTATGATTTTCATCTCTTCCTGTTGGTTTTTTCCCTTTATAGGGATGTAGTGACCTTCTTTGTCTCTATTAATTAGTTTTGGTTTGAAATTTACTTTATCTACAAATAAGATAGTTACTTCTGCCTTTTTCCAGTTTCATGTCACCTGTAGAACTGTTTTACATCCTTTTACTTTCATTCTATGAGTTTGTTTTTCAAGTAGGCATGTTTCTTTTATACAGCATATTGTTGGATTTTGTTTCTTAATTCATTCTGCCAGTCTATTTCTTTTGAATTGAGACACTGACATTGATGGTTATAACTGATATGTATTGACTTATCACTGTCATGCTATTTTCCTGTTGTTGGTTCTTTTTTATTTTTCTCCCTCTCCCTTTAAATTCTTGCCTATTGGATTTGCTCTGTTGGGACTCATGGAATTGTGATCTTCATTGTCTTTTTCTAGGATATATTTTTTAAATTGTTTGGAGTGCTGGTTTGGCATTCATGAAGTCTCTCAGATATTCTCTGTCATGAAAGTATCTTAGTTCTCCACTAATTTTGAAAGATAGCTTTGCAGGATACATCAGCCTTGGTTGCAGTTGTTTTCTTTTAAAGCTTGAAATACCTCACTCCAGGCTCTCCTTGACTTGAGGGTTTGTATTCAAAAGTTTGTCGTGATTCTGATGGCTTTCCTTTGCATGTAATTTGTTTCTTTTCTCTAACTGCTTGTAGTATTTTGTACCTCTGTTGGGTTTCCAGGATCTTGACTATTATATATCTATATGTAGATTTTTAAAATCATAATTATTTGGAGTTCTATATGTCTCACTTATCTGTATGTCAAGTTGTTTATCTCTGTTTGGGATGTTTTCTATCATTAATTCTGTGAACAGTTTTTTATGTCATTTGTGCTTTCTCCTGATTTTTCATGGACTCCTGTCAATCTTATATTATTCTTCTTTGTGTCATCTAGGAGATGTTGGATTGATTTCTCATGCTCCCTACTATTTTTAAGAGATCTCTCTTTTCATGGTCACTGACCACCATCCTGTCTTCTATATCTGAGATTCTGTCTTCAGATTGGCTCAGTCTGCTGTGTATACTTTTAATAGAGTTTTTAATCTCCTGGATATCTGTTTGAATCTGTTTCATGGATTCCATTTCTTTCTTATTTTGGGCATTCGTGGTTTCCATTTCTTTCAGATATAACTGAACATTCACAGCTTCCATCATGGTCCTGAACTCATCTGTTTTGTTTGTTTTTTAAATCTGTTTCTGTTCTAGAGTCTCTAATCATATCTTTTATTCTGCTCATCATCTCTGTAGTTATCTGGGAAATTATTTCTGTTTAGAATATTTCTAGAGCCTCATTCACCCTTTTTTAAAATTTTTACTTCCTGTGCTATCAGTTCAGCTTGTCCAGCTGGTTGATTATCAGACTTTTCCATCTTGTTTCCCCCAGAATTTGCCTTTGGTAAGCCAGAAGACTCTGTCTTGTTTAAATGTCTTTTCATTTCTATTATTGTTGTTGATATAGTCCTTAGGTTAATTCCTGGGTTGATACTTTGATTTTACTTATTTTAAGTATCTTTGTTGCTTGTATTTAAAACCCTTAAGGAATGATTGCTTCTCAGAGGTGCCTTCCAGATATAGCTGATCTTTAGGATTTGAGTCTCTAATGCATCTGGGGCAATCTCATTTTCATTATACCAGAACAGATAACTGATTAGATCACTCACAACACTAGCCCAAGTGTTACAGTCAGCGACAACAATAAAATCAAACACAGCTTAGAAAATGACATTTTGTGATAGTGAGTAATCTATCACCTTGAACTGTGTGAAATGATGAAATCGAAGATTAGCCCAAAATATGTTTATTATGAATAAATTGATCAATATAGTAACTTTACCCTTTGGGATGGTGGCTTAGAAGGAGTAAGGCTTTCTTATTATTATTCACTTTAAGGTTCCCTGTGCCTCTGCAGGGTAGTTAAGGGACAAGCATAGCCAGAAAGCCAGAGGTGGGTAGGGGGTTGGGTTGGCTTGTTGGAAGCACCCACGTAGCTCAGGTCCTCACTGGTCTGCTGGTATCAGGGAGGCCTGCGTGAGGGACGGGCTCATGCTGATGCAACTCCCATCCTCACCGGTCCTCTGGTGGTGAGGAGGTTACTTTGATTGTATCCTAAATGGCAGTCTTTAAAAGTACAATTTGTAAGTTACCATTTTTCCTTGTCTCTTTTCTACCTATCTTTTTTTCTTCTATCCTACTTATTCCCCCCACAATAGAGTTTGATCTTTTAATTTTAAGGGATGGCGAGAGCTGAACATCCATCTTCTTATTGCTGCTTCAGGCTGTAGGAGCTAGGGGGAAACTGAGCCTGTTGAAACCCAAAAGTCTCATTCTAACTGATATAAAGGAAACAATGCAAGATGGTTTTGTTATTTGATGAACCATCATTCTTTGATAGTATGGGAAACAGGATTAGCAAGTCATTGATGCTTAAGCTTCATTTTATAATCATATTAAGTAAGCAGTGGCCAAAAATTGAAGGTAGAATACTGATGAATAGTGGCTGCAAAAATGTGATGCAATTCAGACAGAATAATAAAGCATTTGACAGAAGCCTTTTATCTTTAATATTAACATTTTAAATTTTAAGTTATTTACCCAAGTACAATGGGTAAAGTTTGAGAACAGATAGACTCTTCTCTGTTTTGTCAATAAGAAATCCAGTTCCTCCTACTTTAATCATACAACCCTTCAAAGAATACACTAAATCAAGATATTTATGTTTCTGTGTAATCACTGGGTCATTAAAGTTCCCACTACAGGGCTCATAACCTGAGATCTCACCTCTATTCTGTAGACTTGAAAACTTTTTGTAAAGACTAGCTTCAGATAATATTCATATATGAATTTGGATTAGATAACAGATAACTGGTTTATACCACAAAGGAAATAGCATGAACCGAATACACTGAGAGAGACTGAGTGACACATTTTTGTAAGAGCTTGTGGGACTGAGACTCATGACTTCTTAAAGCTGTAGGTTAAGATGTTATAAATGTAACTAGAGACTGTCAATATATGCTGGTGCAGCATTTGAAGCCCCTTTTATAGCTACCTTAGTTTCCTCTATTTTCATGTTATTATTAATTATTCTATTTTGGTTATACTTTCCTGCTGGGTGTTTAAAATGAAGTCAAAGTCAGACTTGTATTAATTAAAATTAGTCTCTCTCTCTCTCTCTCTCTCTCTCTCATCTGTCTATCATCAGTCATAGTCAGAGATCCTTGGGGGTTACTTCTGAGACATGTAAGGAGCCTCTTAGCTCCTCTAGATTTTTCTTCTACCAAATGTATCATTTGCCAGGATGGGTCACAATGTTGCTTGACCATGCGGCTTTCCTTGAAAGTATGGAACAATCCCCGCTTTAGTTACCCTCCTTTGTGCGAAATGCACATTGGCTGACTCCTGTCCTCTGGGGTCCAACAATCCCCTAGCTGACTCTGGAGTTAGAGGCCCCTTTCGAGGGATACTATTATGTCCTGCATGACTTTGGAGGACACAGGCTAAACTATTGTCTATCCTTTTAGTATTGTCATTTTCCTTAGCTTTGATTTCCAAAGCCTCAGGTGTTAAACACCCAGAGGGTCAGGGACACCATTCTTGAAGTGGGACCAGTAGGTCTTAATCCTATTATATGTAATCTTTTATGAATATTGGACACTTTGAAATATCAAGTAGAACCAGACAACAGCTCTTTAAGAATAGCATTATGACATAGTATGCTTCTACTGTCTGCTCAAATGCTTACTGTGTTAGAAATCTGTATATATTTGTGGAAATTGCATAACATCTTATATTCTTTGCCAAAAAGAAACACTTATTCATAGGGATACTGAATATACTATATTATGATATATATTTACTACTTTTTTCCAGGGGGACAAAGGAAATCAAGGGGAAAAAGGCATTCAGGTATGTTGTTTTGCTTGGTTTTGTTTGTTTGTTTGTTTGTTTGTTTTTGGTTGTTTTTTTTGTTTTAGCATAGCAATAAAAGAAGAGCTTTTTTTCATATTCTTATATGGATTTTCCAATTTCTTCCTGTTTCATGGTTGGCACTAATCATTAAATCATATCTTTCTCCTTTTGCGACTGAGCTTTTTTAGACAACACCAGATCTAACTTTAAGGTTCTTTACCATTCTGTTGTCATGGAAAACTGGAGAACCAAATATTGCAACAAAGACATTAATTTGATTTCTCTTATCTATTTATATACTTAAAATGTGTATATTTCCACCCATGATTTGAAATAGCTTATGGCAAAAAGTTGGTAAGAAACCATTAATACCAAATATAAAGCATATCCAACCCATTATGGGGAAGAAGAATCATTCTAGAAAATTATATTATGAGAAAACCCAAGGGTGATTTAGAAAGGCACTGATTTTTGGATGTCTTAGCAACAAAGGCCAGTAGGTGAAACATGCTTCTACTTTGGAGGACAAAGTTAGTTTCACCAAAGTTAATTTAAGCAACTGTAGAATGTTTTTTTTTTCTTTAGCTGAATACTATCCATGGATAGAAAACTCTCAAGTGAGTCATTTATATATCTGTCGATAATTATATCTCTTGGTCTTTCAATCTTACAAGTTTTAAAGTTAAAAAAGTTTTCCAACCATCAATCACAAATATAGTTTTGTTTTGTTTTGTTTTTGGTACCGGGGAGCTAACTTGGGTCCTTGTACTTGGGAGGCAGGTGGCAGAACCACTGAGCCAAATCCCCCACCCACAAATGTAATTTTTAATAGTGATTTTAGTTTACAAAGTTCAGTTAAAAGGGATGAGATTCACTCCTCAGAGTAAGCTTAAAATTCAAAGAAAAACACTTGCAAACATTTCACAAATAGAACATCTTGGAGATATGGGAATAATGTAAAATTGAAGTAGTAATAGTAAAAATCTGCTTTTCATAGTCTCAAAAGCCTCTACTCGTGAATTTATGAAGTCTTTCACAGTGGCAGGACAAATTTCAGTTATGTATCAGACATTTTTCACTTAAAAGCTTAAAGTAGCTTTATAATATAATTACTTTAAGTTAATATTTTTTTCCCTCATTGCGTTTATTGGTACTTTTTAGGTACACAGTACAGTTACATTCGTCACTGGGATCGTGTACCTTTACATGACAGGTCTTGGTTCTCATTTTTTCCCCATGCCCCTGCCCTCCCTTCACCTGCTCCACCCACTTTAAGTTGATGTTGAAGTTAGGAGCAAAGTAAATTTTAAATGTTTACGAGCTCCACACCCATGTGTTCCAATTCCCATCTTAGTATATACATTTGAATGCTTCAAATGGACTCAAATTCAACATGTCTGGATTGACCACATGGTGCAGATTGACCGTCTTTCCTTCAGATCCACTCCCTACTCATACATTCTTTATCATGTAACTTGGTAGCACCCCCATGGTACTGCCATAATACAAGCCACCCTAAAACCAGGTGTCTTTCACATCCAGTCATTCAGTCAGTCTAAATTCTCTCACGATCTTGGCTCCTTCTCCCTGTCCTCATTGGCCCAATCACTGCCTGTTAGGGATCCTAGTTCTGTGCAATATTTTCCTAACTGATCTTCTTGAGTCCAGTCTACTTTCTTTCCCCCAGACTTTTGCCAATAGGTAGTGGCTAAGCCATGTGTCTGCCTAAGAATCCTTTCATACTCTTCATCTAGTTCAGGATATTCGAACTCATGAAGTGTCTCCTGGCTTGACTGACTCTTCTTCTTTAGTGTTATTTCCTGCCTGTCTTCCCATCACTGTCTACTCTTGTTCAGTGTCTATGTTCAAAAGAATCCGCTTGCCTTTGCCCTGGCCTGAGCTTCCTGGTACGCCCAATGGCCAACTCTTAAAGAGCCTCCAAGCCTGTTCTCAAGGCTATTATATTTCCTGCCCTCTCTGTCAGATGCCCTTTCCTGAGTCCCAGTGGTATTCAGCCCGATATTTAATTGTGTATTGTATACTTATGACACTATTTTTCTCCTTTTTGCTTTAAATTCTATCTTGTCTATCACAGAATAAGTAACTTGAAAGCAACAATGATACTTTTATAAGTGTCTTGATTTTAAAGATCTTCATTCAAGTGTTTTCTCTCTAATATAATAGTATTTTTTAATTTTAAAAGAAAAAGTTTAAAATTCAATACTGAACTTATTTTATATCACTTACAAATTGTTAAAATGTCTCCATCAGTTGGATCTTAAAACTATTTTTATGCTACTCATATGGACTAGGCAGATATCTGAAATTATTTGCATGTTTCCCAGCAGTCAGTAGTTGTCTCTAACTGTAAAGTTAGATTGACTTTCCTCTTTTTTTTCTCCTCTGAGTGATTTTCTCATTTAATTTACATATTCACATCACTGCTCTTGTGAGACTTCAGGGTAATACATAATTTATATGGTGTATATGTACTATAGGTATGCAGATTAATTAATAATTTTTATTCAATTTTAAAGGGTCAAAAGGGAGAAACTGGAAGACAAGGAATTCCGGGACAACAGGTATTTTTATTTTAAAAAGTAAAATAATCACTTACTTCATTCAGTGGCCCATGCTGAGAGGTTACTTTTAAATAAACATATGTGGAGAAAAGGTAGGTTTGTCATGTTTTTTAATTAAACATACAAAGATAGAAATTTTAAGTGGATGATAGTAATAGTGGTTTTCGTTGTTTTATATTTTCATTTTCCCTTACCGATAACATTGGTGGCTCTAAAGTTTGGTTTTTCAATGCTTTCTTCCAGCCAAGGAAGTGACTCAAAGTAGAAACTCCTGCCCATTTCTTGGAGCAGTTACTGGTCAGAGGCAGCACAGCATCTTCAATTCTGCCATATACTCTTGATTTTTGTCTTGAAATGTGAACATTTGGAACCACATATAGTGAAGGAATGTATTTGTTTCCCTCTAGTTTGTTAAAATATGTAATTTACTACTCTGGAGAGTTACAAAAATGGACTGTGTTGAGAAACAGATATGTAATAAGGTTGTTTTGCTTCTCCCCTGACTAAACTCTCCTATTAGGTAATGTCCTAGAGAGATTGCCATGTGGCATCCAATTTGAGTCCAAGCCAAAGGCAAAGGATGTTAGTACTCGTGTTTGCTCTAGCTTCAGAGTGTTGAGCTGGGTCCCGCTGGTCTGGATTGGAAGGGTATGCTGTACATTCAAGTTCTCCCCAGGAGCAGACTTCTTACTCTGAGTGTGTGTGGGGAAGGGAGCAGATTGAGCAATACCTCAGCTCTGGGGATAAAATGATGTAGCAGTGTCCCCAGGGAAAGACATATCTTGGGAGACTATAGAACAGCCCCTTGGGCCCCATATGGCCTCAAGGGTTGTCTGTAATGTAGCATGGAAGACAAGGATACGTATCAAGGAGTTGAGAAATTAAAAAGCTAACAATAGGAGCAAAAGTCACTGAGAAAGCAGAGGTGAATTGCATTTCGTTATGTGCAAGCATATTCAGTAAAAAATGTCTTAAATTTTGTGGTCCGTAACTTGACTCAGACCTAATTAATGACACAACCAACTCTATCCTGTACTTCTCCCTGGTGAGACAAATGATTCTCTCAGTTTTCTTAAATTAATCATATGATATCTTTAAATAGCTCTTCTTATAGGACCTCCACCCCTTATCCATTCAGTCTCCACAGCTCAGACCTTTCACCAGACTGTTGTAATAATAACTCTCTGCAAGGACATGTGCTTTAAATTTGAGCTCAGACTTAGCTCACTGGCTTCAGGATGATTCTGCTTCCAAAATCCCATTCAAGTGTGGTTTTGGTTCTCACTTCTTAAGAAAAATATCCTACTTTCCTAAGACAGAATTTGAGTTCTTTGAACAACTTCTGCTCTGGATTTGTTGCAGGCCATGCTTCCCACAGTCAGGAACTGAGCCTCAGTGGAGTAACCAAAGGTCCAAGCACAGTTGCCTTGCAGCAGCTGACTGGTCCTCCCCATCTCTTCACATAAACCATCTTAGTTACAGGCCCATCTTAATTTGGGATATGCTAGGGTCATATTTTCTGGGCCTTTTTTTAATGAAGAGAGTCCAAGTGAATGTTTCAGGAAATCATCTTAATGGATTCTCAGATGACAGCTGTTTCCAGTTTCAGCTCTAATTCATTCCCATCCTTAGAATTTACTATTTTATCTTTCTTCTGGCATTTGTTCCAGTTGTAGGTTTATGCCTCATAGGAATCTCCTCTGCATTTCTTTAGAAATAAACTTCACTATTTCAAGAACCACCTTACTTAGAGTGTTTTACTTATAAGAGGTTGAGTATCCCTTTGGGGAAATGATTAGAAACAAATATGTTTCAGATTTCAGAGTTTTAAAAGAGTTAGAATATTTGCATATATGTAGATCTATAGACATCTGTCTCTTGGAATAGGACTCAAATATAAGCATGAAATTCATTTATATTTTATAACATCTTAGCTACAGTGCTTGGATGCTTTACATGATGATAATTTACCTCTTGTAGGGGAGTAATTGTATAGAATATTTTAAGTAAATTTGTCCATAAAACAAAGTTTTACATGTAAGATTAGATGTGGAATTTTCCATTTATGGCCTCATGTTAATGTTTTAAAAGTTTCAGATTTTAGAATACTTTAGATTTAAATTTTCAGATTAGAACTACTCAACCCTTAATAGATTTTTATATGAAAACTAAATGTTTAGTATATTTATTCTCATGTTTTAAGATGAGAATCTACCCTTTTTGTGACATTAATCTTTCCTTCATTCAGTTTGGATATTGGATATCCAGATTTAAAGGACCAGCAAATCAAAAGATATGCCTCTACTCAAACATAATGTGAAATGTTATATATTAAACTTTATGTTTAATTGCTTAATAGCAATTATAATTTTAACATTGAATGATGAAACACCACCTGTGTGTGTTTCCTGGGTGATTTTAAAGCCTAAGTGTACAATACATTTGAAACATAGTTCTTATAAATATGTCTTAAAACAAATACAAGAAATAGAGAAAATAGATAAAAGATAAGTGGGAAAAATTTTCACTGATCCAACTAGTTGTATCTAGTAATTAAAATGGTGAATAACTTCATGTATTGGCTCCCTACTGTTTATAACACTGGGGAAAATATTTTACATAATAGTACTTCTCTGATCTCTTAATTAGCAGCAATGAGTAGTCTGCCTACAGGAAAAGTAGACATATTTTCTCTAATTAATCACTTGTACTGTTGTCATACTTTATCCTTTATAGTTTTCAATCAAAATTTAATTTTGGGGGCTGGGGATTTAGCTCAGCAGTTCGGTGGCCTTCCTTGCAAGCACAAGGACCTGAGTTCAATCCCCGGTACAAAAAAAAAAATTAATTTCGGTGCATGACCTTAGAAAAATAGGACTGCTTGTTTTAATCATGGGACAAAAGGGTAAATATACCTTACACTTACTCTGATTTTTTCATTTTCCTTAAAAGAGTAATATATTTTATGTCCAGTATAATCACATTGTAATCTACATGATTTGACCTGCAACACAGAAAAATTTCATTTGATAATAAGATAGTTACAGAAATTAAAATATCTGTACCACATAATATTTTGGCATTAGGCTTCTCTAAAACAGCTAAAAAAGATTTCTTATATAGGTATTTCTGGGATGAATTCTATCAATAATCACTGAACTGGAAATTAGAGTTTGAATTAAAGTTAAATACACAATAAAAATTGCATGCCACATCATTAATACTGGTGCTTACATATTTATTACAGTTTTTCTTCTTATTTTTCAAGGGAATTCAAGGCCATCAAGGTGCAAAAGGAGAGGTATGTTTGTTCACGTCTAACTCTCCCTTTGCTCAGTCCTGCATTGCATCAGTTTTCAATACTGTATAAATAAATCTAGCTTTTGATGTTTTAAACAGGAAATATCTTCAGTAGGAGTTACTACTGAGTGATTATCAGTGATACTAATTAGTGAATTTTAAAGTGTGGATATTTATACTTAATTAGATATGAAATATGTGTTTGGCAATATTATTAGTTCTTCTCAACTGACCCTTGAATTTTTCTGTATACTTTTCAGTAAAGACTACTGTGCATCTCTGTGTTTGTGTGTCCTACTGGAGCACAAGCTCCTTGGAAACAGGACTCTGGTGTGTCACTAGTGCATCTCTAGCACTGTGCTTAACGGCTTTTGCAACACACTCATTAAACAATAGATGTCAGTATGTCTGGGTGGCTGGGTGAATGGATAAATGACAGTTCAGATGATAAATTTCCTTCCAGGTCAATGATGGAAATTATCCTTTATTCCTATATAACTTACGTACACATGATATATATCTTTACTCATTTTCTCAAAGACATTTATGATGTAATTATACCTTCTGAAATACTTAAATAGAACTTATAAAGATATATTCTGGCTTTAGCGAGGTGAAAAAGGAGAACCTGGTATTAGAGGTGCCACTGGACCAAAAGGAGAGTCTGGGATGGATGGCGTAATGGGGCCTGCTGGTCCCCAGGGGCAGCCTGGGGAAGCAGGTCCTCAGGGACCTCCAGGATCGGATGGAAAGCCCGTATGTACTCCACTTCTTTCACAGTTTTTGTATTTCAATTGCCTTTTGCTCTGTTTCTATATATATATAATCCCTCATAATTTGATACAGGGCAGAGAATTTTCAGAACAATTTATTCGGCAAGTTTGCACGGATGTACTAAGAAGTAAGTATCAAGCATAGTTTTTCATAACCTTTTCAAAGTATAAAAGTCATACAGATTATTAGTAGAAACCATTTATAAACCTCTGTTTTTCATAAACATTTTTATAAAGATAGCATATTATTTGTACCCATAAATTTTAATAAAATAATTTATAATTATTCCACTATTAATTAAATTTTTGTAATATTACCTTGACAATTTAATTCATAAATATGGATTTCTATCATTTAATTTATCAATTTATTTTCAGGGACACTTTCATTTTCTCCAAGTAATTGCTGTAATAAAATTATTGCATAGAGCAATGACTGTTTTACATATACTAGAAATAAAATTACTGGCCAAGGGATATGCACGCGTGCAGTGATCACAGATTTTTTTTCTATATATTTAAAAAGTGATGAGACATGGTGTTAACTATGCCTAACCAGTTAAACATAAAGGATGGTGTTTCTTTGTTCTTAAAGCTCAGCTACCAGTCTTCCTCCAGAGTGAGAGAATTCAGAATTGTGCTCACTGCCAGCTGCAACGTGGACCCCCTGGTATCCCTGGGTCACCTGGTCCCACAGGCCCAGAAGGTCCCCGAGGATTTCCGGGTTTGCCAGGGAGAGATGGTGTTCCCGGATTAATGGGTACTCCCGGACGTCCAGGTGCCAGAGGGTTAAAAGGTAGTCACTGTGTTTGAATACAAGAATGACACTTTTTGCATTCACACCCTATGTTCATTTAGAAGGCAAAAGTTCATCTTTGTTTTCCTGATGGAAAGGTTTTTTACAAATCCTTAGCCATTTAAGTAATTTGTCAACTGAGTTGTAAAGCAGTTCTATTCTGTTTTCTTGAAGCAATATTCTCAAGCAGTGATTAAAATGATGAACATGTGAAGTTACAGATGTTAACAATGCATTCAGAAATTTGATTTGAGTCCAAAAAGTTCTTTATATAGAAAGTCACAGACACTGTTTTCTTGTATTTCATTTTGATAACTTTCTACCCTGTTACATTATACAAAAATTACCTTCTATTTCAGCAGAAATAATTTTGTAACCAAACTTCCTAATAGCCTGCAATTACTGCTCTTTGCCCTTGAAATTTTCTGGAAAATGTTGCTTGATAATTCTCCCTTTTAAAATACTGTATGAACAATTCAGATATTTCATGAGAATAATTAAAAATCCAGTATGATTATCTCAAAAGATGAATAATATGTAACTATTGGCTTTTAAAATATTTAATTCATTTAAGTCTTTCATTGAGAGACTACAGATGAGCCTAGAAATGTTTGCTTAAAAATTCTGTTTCTCATTGGTATTAAAAAAATGATCAAGTGCTTTAAATATATATTTATTTTTCTTTTGATGCCTCTATTAACAACTATGCAACAGTCTAGGATCCAGTGATTTCCACAGGAAAATCAGCTTACTTAAATGTTTGATACTCCACAGGTCTCCCAGGAAAAAGTGGGGCAAAGGGAAGTCAAGGGTTTGGGTATCCTGGAGAACAAGGTCCTCCTGGCCCCCCAGGTAAGTACTGCTGTTGGTTTTTGTTGTTAAAATTATTTCCCTAAGTTGCCTAGGCTGCTCTTGAATTCTTGGTTCAAGCAATCCTCCTGTAACAGCCTCCCAAGCAACTGGGACCACCTGTGTACACCATCTGGCTTGCTGCAGATTTTGTTTTAAGCAAAATATTTAGAAATCTTTGTCAAATAATTTGAAACCAAGAATGTATCTTCTTGAGTGATGCACATTTAAAATATTGAGGTTTACGTTTGCATACGAGTGCGGATACAAATTAAAACCCGAACCGACCTCATCACATGGCACCCCTGAATGTTGACAATGTGAGGAATGCTTTGTCTATAGAACATGCCACTTCTGGGCTGAAAAGCTGGGGAAGAAGCTTAATTTTCGTTTGGCATAGATTAGGAAAATTTAAGAAACTAAATGTGCCGAAGACTCTTACTGGCCTCAGTGGATGAAATGAGCTGATAGTGTAAATTCAGATTTAAGAATTATCTGAATCTTGGTCTGTGTAGATTTACAATCTACACTATTAGAAAAGCAGACAGCTTTTACAGTTCCATATGTGTACGCAGTCTCCCCACATCCATTAATTACTGAACTTTGTAAAATGGCATTGTAACATTACAATAATGTTTTGTTGCACCAATTTTATAAACTTTACAGTGCAATACTTGTTACTTTTCTGAGGCAAACCAAAGGTATATTTCTTAAAGTTTTTGCTGCCTTCTTTAGCAGGATTTGATGGATCTTTTATACATTTGTAATGTAAAAAAATCAGATTGCAAATTCTTTTAAAAATCTTAAACCATGTACCAACTGTTTGGTTGAAATTGTGTAGGGTAAGTGTAATTGCATTCTCTTAACCAGTATGAGTGTATTTCTGTAAGCATAGTTATGTCGAAATAAAGTTGTGAAAGAGCAAAAAAAAATATTGAGGTTTAGCTATTGTAGTTTTTCCCATATTATATTTGTGAATTATTTAGGATCCTCCCTTGCTTGTCTTTTAGTCTACTCTCTAGTTCTTTGATCAATCCTTCCTAGCTAGAGTATAACGTTACTTAATTTTTATGACTTTTGGGGAAGCAGAATAATGCTTTACTCAGAGAGAATAAAGGGAAATTTAAGTAACTTCTGTTTGTTGTGCTGTTCAGTTTTGCCATGATTCAGCTTCCTTGTTTGCAAGATGAAGACAGTAGTGGCATGGTTCATGGTATTACTGAATGACGGAACAGTAGTCATTGTCATGTTTTCAATAACTGTTTGATGGCATTATTTTAGATAACTCATTAAGCTTTGAGTGGATCAAATGAGTTAGTGCTTAAAAGAATACCTACAATCTTGCTTTAGTGCCAAATATTTCCTAGTGGTACATAGTGGTAATAACAGTAGGGAGTACTAGGGAGTGCCTCAAAGTATTCTGCTCTGTCCTCAAACCTATTTCGCTTTTGTTTGAATCATCAATTTTTAAATTTTAGCATTACTATCCTAAATTATATCACTTTCCTTTTAATTGAGCTAACCAGGTTACGGTTGTCAAATGACTGCTTTAACACCTATAGTGATGTCTGTTATGAGAATGACAATGCATTTAGAAACAGAATCAAAGTACTATTTATAATGAAAGTAGTCATTTTTACAGCAAATATGGCACGGAATGGCATCTTTAGAGTTTTGGCTTACCTCCTATCACATGCTAATTTAATACAACATGGACAAAAGTTAGGCTGAAAGGGAGAAATAAATTAGGACAATCTACAAATTGGAATGTTGAAATGTTAGCTCATTTTAGTCATATTATGATTGCTATATTAAAAAGCTGTCTGTTTTTACAAATATTGTTTTTTTTTTATGATGCTCTTCAAATTGGAAAGTATGTAGAATTAGCAAGAGAAATAATGCAAGTGAATAAAATGTTCAAGAGGGTTATTTTTGGGTTGAATATCTTGCAGAATCAGCTATTTGACCATCAGTGACCACAGGTCTCTGTTCATGTACTGTGAATGTCTGTTCTACCTTAGGTCCAGAGGGTCCTCCAGGAATAAGCAAAGAAGGTCCTCCGGGAGACCCAGGGGTGCCCGGCAAAGATGGAGATCATGGGAAGCCTGGGCTCCAAGGGCAGCCGGGCCCCCCTGGCATCTGTGATCCGTCTCTGTGTTTCAGTGTGATTGTCGGAAGAGATCCATTCAGAAAAGGGCCAAACTACTAGTTTCTGTTGCCTCATTCAGCGACCGAGGCATGGTGCTTTTCTTTGTGGTCTTTTGCATCTCAGGAAGATAAATAACAGTAATCCCTTGAAGAAAAACTAAAGTACCTCGGTGTTTTTATTTTTTTCCATAAGGAAAAAATAAATAAAAGGTCACATGTACTGATTGTAAAGGCTCTTCAGTAATTTGGAGCCTTGAGATTAGTAGCATTAATTAAATCTCAAGGGTTTCTTCATTTTAATCCAAGTTAAACATAAAAATCCACCTTGACATGTTAGCTAGTTGATTTCAGTCACTGTGAAATGCTTCACAACCAGTCTCCATGTAGTAGAGATTAGAGTTCAAGTTCATATCTGGGTGTATTTTCTGTTGCCTAGCTCATAGCTCATGTGTCTACATTTCACATAACATATCTGGACATTGGAATGAAGATCAGGGTTGATATCAGGTGAAACAGATGGGACAATTGGGCTTCTGTATCTGTAGGTGCTGCCACCACGGATTCAAACAACTGCTGATTTAAAAAAAAAATTAGGTTGTGTCTTTGTGTACTGAGCACGTACAGACTTTTCTCTGGATATTATTCCCTAAACAATACAGTGTGCCTATTTGCATACCATTTACATTGCCTTAGGTACTGTAAGTCATCCAGAGATGATTATTTAAGTATATGGGAAGATGTGCATAGGTTAGCTGCAAGTGCTATGCCATTTTCTAGGGGGGTGTTAAACATCTGCAGATTTGCTTTTCCAAAGGTGGGGAGAGGTCAGCAGCAGCCTCCCTGTGACACTGAGGAACTACTGTGTAGCCTTATGAGTCCCTTACTCCAGTGTCTGTGGCTGGAATTAGTGGACTGCGTGCTGTTCAGTGTTTTCAATATCACCTCTGCATACGATTAGTGTGTTTGACAATTTCATCTGAAACTCTAAAAGGATGATTATGGTAAGAAAGAATAGCCATTCCACGGAAGATGTTAAAATTATCTAACATTAAACATGCTTTAGGAAAAAGTCTTAATGTACGATATATTCAAAAAATGCATGTTCAACAGTTCTAAAAACTTCATACTTGCTAAATAATTGAACGTTGCTGTATGCCTTCATTTCATTTCACTTATTATATGTCTATGTTCATATATGTCATCTTTCCATTGTAGCAAAGCTAATGGCGATAAATACTGTATTTGAAAGGAATAGTTATTCCACAAATCTTAGTATGTTTTGTATCTTCAGCAGACTAAAATATTATGAACAGTCTTTGCGCACTGTATGTAACACTTTTGTAAGAAAGAGAATTTGAGATATTATGTCTTTGTCATGCTTAAAATTTTGTTACACTGCTTGTTATTCAGAGTACAATAAAGTCTTGTATGAACCTCATTGTAGTCCTTGTTTATATTTAATGTTAGCAATGGTTGAGTTCATCATCCATATCACATTGTCATATATTCAATAGATATAATTTATTAGGTTGTTTACCCATTCTTAAATGTTTGATTCATCTGAAATAAGAACTTACAAATTGAGTTGGTGTGCTGCTTGCATGAGCAGTCATAACTTGCTTTCATCTTCTACCACCTGGTGGTGTTTGAGAAGATTTAGGTCCATAGAGCTTAGTAGCCAAATAAACATAAAGTCTGTTTTCATGTTCAGCTTCGGCAAAGTGCCATTTCTCTGCTGAGGCCTAAAAATCCTACTCTGCCTGTTCTAATTACGGCATTTAAGCGGACCCTTGACTTACGAACTCAGTTTGTTCTTGTGGACTGGTTGTAACTCAAGTTGGTCAATTGAAGGCCTAGACTCCTCTGAGTAGCCTTCAAAGTCTCTCTCCTATACACAGGCAGATCTCAGCCTCCTTAGAGAGACATCGTCCCAGGATTTCTCAATTAATCCCACATAGGAAAGGATGTTGCAATGTTCCTTCCAGAACTCTAAGGGCAAAATCTGTATCTGAGACCATTTGGAATCTCAAGTGGCTGGAATTTAAGTCCTAGCTCAAGACTTTGTTAATAAGTTAACACTAAAATTCTGGTCGTAACAGAAGTTGTTTGTACGACAGGCTGCTTGTAACTTGAGGGTCCATCTAAGACCTTGTAGTGAAGCAAAATGAAGTATTTGGTATCATCCAGCCAACATTTATTACATAGCTGTCAAGTGCCAGGGATGCAGTGGCAATATAGTTAGAATACGGCTAAAGTAACTTACATCTAGTGAGACGCAGGTCAGAAAACAGGTGATGTGGGCCAGGGATTTAGCTCAGTGGTTCGGTGGCCTGCCTTGCAAGCACAAGGACCCAAGTTCAATCCCCGGTACCACAAAAAAAGAAAAAGAAAAGAAAGAAAACAGGTGATGTGAGTACATTCAAAGAAACAATGTTGGAGTCCCCCTCCCTTTGTACTTATATTTGGAGATAGGGCTTTAGGAGATAATTAAGATTAAATAAGATCATGAGGAAGGATCCTAATTAGATAGGATAGGACTTGTGGCTTTGTAAGAAGAGGACACTCGCCCACCCCACCCCCACCCCTTTTTCCTGTCCATAGGAGAATTTAGCCAGAAGGCATCTCTGCCGCCTGGGAGAGGGCACCTAGAACCCAGCCATGCTGCCCCTCTGATTTTGAACTTGTAGCCTCTAGAATTGTGCAAAACTAAAAGTCTGTTCCTTGTGCCACTCTTTCTGATATATTTTGTTACGGTGTTCCAAGCTGACTAATGGAAATGATGGTAGGGAAATGTTCCCTAAATGAATATAAATTGAGAATTAAGAGGTTACTATTCGCATTCCTAACCAAATCATGTAAACTTAGAAAAAATGAGTAAAAGCTGTGGGGTTAGAAAAAGCAGAGAATTCTAAGAACATTAAAATCTATGGGATATGAACTGCATTTACTTTTATTATCTTTTTTAAAATTAGTGCTTCAAGATGAAATATTTTGGTAATTTATCATGTTACATGTTTTGATCTAACAATTTTTTGCCTTTGACACATTTCAGTATCACCCATAATACCTCAATTTTTAAGATTGAATAAGAAAGTGATTTTCCTTGCAAGAACATGTTTGCACCATAGCTGACATTCAACACCATGCTACATGCAAGACATGTTACATGTAATCATCAAGAGCATTTATTATGTAATGGGATTTCTGACATTCAAATTCCAGCTCTGTTTATAGCTGCAAGTCTTCAGAAGGTCCAGCTTCCCTCTTTGTGCTTAAAGTTCTCTATGTGTTAAAAGGGGGAGATTAGTGGTCTTAGTGCAGAACAGGAAGAGGATTTAATGAGATGAAACAAACTCATCAGTGGAAAAAGGGTCATATTAACTTACTAAAACTACATAATCAATGAAGGGTCTGCTCATTATCAGAATGAAACATTAAAAAAACTTAGACTTATTTTATGTGAGTACCTGACACGGGGTTAAATTAATGTGGTTCATCGCTTTCAGAACAAAACTGTCTTAGGGGTAAAGATAATTCTAGGTTATTACTGTCTCTGCCATAGTTTGATCATCTTGTTCTAAAGTGCAAAACGTAGGGAGACTTCAGGAAAAAGCAAAACAAAAACTTTGGAGTTTATAGTCTGGGTTACTGTATTTTGCCCTTGGTATTTTTTTTCTCATTGAATTTATTGGTATATTTTATGTACACAGTACAGTTGCATTCATCATTGGGATCTTGTACCTTTATGCCCTTGGTATTTTGAACCATACTGGTACTTAGTTTCTATCATAAAGAGATTTTCAATTGAAGTAGAGCTGGAACTCTTTCTATGGTCTCCAGTAGAGGGCAGCAAAAATGCATAAATACATTCTCTGACACCTACACAAAAGCAGTATGTCATCCTTTCCTCTTTATATTAATCATATAAGCTAGCACGACATATTATTAGGTGGAATATTTTCTTTTTTGTAAGTGCATGTAGGTTTATTTCTGAAAACATAATTATTCCAAGGAGTGAAAATTATTGTTTTCATATATTGAATACCTAACCTAAGTCCTAACTGATGAGGTTATTTATATATTGGCGATCTTCCTATCTGCTTTACGTTGTATGATTCTATTTATTACAATGCTCTAAGGAGGACCTTTCATTAACCCTTGTGACTGATAAACTGACTGCCAAAGGAGACACAAAAAAGTCATTCCTAGAAATTCTCACTAATAAGATGTGGCCCATTGGCAGGATTTTATCTGTGTTACACCTACAGGAGGCGGAAAGCTTTCTTTATCATTTTCTAGAGATTGCAGCGGATAGTTAGAGATGTGCCACCACAACCCTTGTACAATAGATTGTAGCAAATAACATGAGGGACTCACAGTTTTGGGCCTAGGTCACCATGGCTTTTTCTTTGCAGACTATGGAATAGGATGTGGAACATAAGCTAAACCCGAAACAGACCTTTCAGAAAGCAGCCCATCCATCAGTTGAAATGGGCTGCAAAGGGTTCTCTCTGGAATGTTTTAGCAAAACTTTATTTTAAAAGTTCTGGGCCAGGGATTTAGCTCAGTGGTTCCTCTGCCTGCTTCATAAGTGCAAGGTCCCCAGTTTGATACCTGGTACCAAAACAACAACAACAAAGCCAAAAAAACAAAAACAAAAGAAAAGAAAAGTTCTATGGATTTTTTTTGGCCCCAAATAACACATCTGAAGAAAGGAACATTCCTGTAACGATAACTCACTAAATTATTCCACAGTTATGCTTTCCCCGGAGATTTTCACAGAGCAATTTTTGAATAGATCTCAAAAGTCCTATATTGATTTTTTTATGTAAAATGACAAAAATAGGCCAGTAAAGGATTGTTCTGAACAGGGTGAAGATTGAGCAAATACGGTGTTTTTCATCATGTCCCACGTTCAGTGGCCATCTCAAAATATCACAAAAATCAAATTTGGAATGTGTCTGTACCTCCTGTTAACATTCAAAGTACAATTGATGATGGTATAAGTGATTCTGACAAACAATAAAGTTAAAAACAGTCCTGTGACACATGACCTTGAATGAATTTGATAACTGCCTCGCTCTATTATTATTATTTCTTTATTTTATTTATTTTTGGTTTGTTTTGTTTTTTGAGACAGGGTCTCACTACGTAGTTGAGACTGACCTGGAACTCACTATGTAGCCCAGGCTGGTCTCGAACTCACAGCGATTCTACGGCCTCAGCCTCCAGAGTGCTGGGATTACAGGCTTGCACCACCATGCCCAGCCTTGCTCTATTATTTTAAATCTATAAAACAAAATGTTTGGGTTATTCTGCTTTTCAACCCTGTCTATACCTTAAAATCCCCTAAGAACTTTTACAGAAAGAGATAGCATAAATGGCTATTGGAAAAAAGGACAGATAGGGGAGTTCAAAGGGAAAGAGACTGAGAGGAATGATCTAATTATGTGTGCTTGAATATGCCAAAATGAAACCCACTGTTCTGTATTACTGATATTTTAAAAATAAGCCACTGTCAGTTCTGTTTTTGTTACAGAGCAGAACAAACTGTTCTGACTCACCCAGAATACTTTTAATGGCTTCCTTTTTTCAGAAGTGGTCTTTAAATGCACAGCAATGTAAGAAAATTAAGTATTTAATGTGCTGATTTTAAAAATAACTGAACTTTATAAATCTTCTGAGAGATCACCATTCTACTCTCATATTGTTATGACAACAACAGTCTCATTTTATAAAAAACGACCACATAAAAGCATAAAGAGATAGTGTAGTGTTGTCTCTTCCATAATAAAATCAATGATCTAACTTTTTTCTAGTTTCCCTTGGGCTCCACCTAGGCTCTCAAATAGAATTGGTTTATCTTCCTCGGAAATAGTTCTTGTTTGGAGGCAGAGAACACAGCTCCATGGGAAGTGAAAGTAATTTTGTATTTTTGGGGTTTAGAAAGGTAACGGCGGTGGTGATGATACTGCGGTTGAGAAAAGGGGTGATAGGAAAAATATTTAATATGCAATGAGGAAATGACCTGAGGAGATTTGCATTCTAGACAGAAGATCACTTTGATTGCAGGGAAAAGTAGATAAAAGCAGGCCAAAGTTGGAAGTGGAGAAGATGATTAAACATCATGACCTGGGCACTGAAATAATGGTGAAAATACTTAGAGGCAAGGACAGAGGACAGCGGATAGATAGAAGGACCACAAGTTTATTAGTGTCACTGAAATCGGGGATGACTTTCAGCATGTGACCATAGCCTGAGTCCTGAGGACTAAAGCTTATTGCTACATAATGAGAAATTAATCTCTCAACAGA